ATGGTTCAATGGGCAAAAAATTTTGGGTACAATATTGACTTAGAAAAATGGCAAGGGCTGTGGTCTAGAAACTATAAGATGACAATGGCAACATCTTATAAAGAGAATCTCTACAAAATGTTTTATAGATAGCATTTACCTTCTGATAGATTGGTTAAGATGTATTCTAACAGGTCAAGTAAATGTTGGAAATGTCATAAAAAACTGGAACCTATTATCACCTCTGGTGGACTTGTGATAAAGCAAAAAATTTTTGGAACAAAATACATACATGGCTTGTTAAAATAATCAAAAAGCATGTAGATTTTAGGCCAGAGCTCTTTCTGTTAGGTATAATACCAGAAAGTGTTGATAGACAAAATGTATATTTAATACTGCATATTCTAACAGCGTCGAGGATTATTTATGCACAGTACTGGAAAAATGAAGGAACACCTACAGATCAAGAAATAATTAAAAAAGATATTGGATTGCGCCGAAATGGACAGACTAACACTGAAAATCAAAGGAAAAGAAGATACAAAATATTATCAAACATGGGACTTATTCTATCAATGGTTAGAAGGATGTTGTATAGATTAGGAGGGTAATGTGTGTAGCAGTTGTTTTACAAATGATTATAAGCTGTACCCTGGTGACACGATGTTAAATCAATATGGTTGGATTTATATAATAAAAAGAAAAAATAAAATAAATAAAAAAAGAGGTGGCTGGAGGTGGCTCATAATGAGGGACTTTGCCACATCATAAGCCAATTTGATTGCAGATACCATCCAATTTGACAAATGTTGAACAGAAACAGTTTGATCTATTCCAGGACCATGGTAACAAACAAAAAGCCTGACCATTTTCCTAAATTCTTTTGTCCTACCATGTTTACCTGAAAATAGGACAGGGTCTTATATTAATTTTTGCTCCAAAAATGCATTAGAGCTTATTTTCAGGGGATGTTTTATTTTATAGTCATGTCATCTTCTAGTTGCTGCACAATGGTGGAGGGCAGGGTTTCACTTAATTGGGGCTTATTTTTGGGATAGGGCTTATATTATGAGCATCCTGAAAAATCATACTAGGGCTTATTTTCAGGTTAGCTGTTATGTTCAGGAAAACAGGGTAGAAAAGTAGAAACCAGGTGATCTTTTAATGTCAAGGAAGTGCATAGTTCTTTCCAGTGATAACTGAAGAGAAGAAAAGAACTTTGAGGAAAATAATAGGTTGTGAGGAGTGAAAAGTGGAGATTTAGATGAGAAGTCCATGTCAAGATATAAACTTAGAGGTTGGCTGCATGGACAATTAGCCTGTTGTTTGGAACACTGTAGGGATGGGCTGGTGCACTCTTATAGATGGCAATAAAATGTTCTCTGCTAGAACATCCCCCACACCCTCAAAGTGCTCCTACCTACATCTTTATGGCCCCTGTCAAGGGGTTTCTACTTTTTTTTATATACAGGTCAGATTGCTCTTGTTTGGATTGGTTCCAGCATGTATGATTGCTGGAACCAATCCTAAACAGGTGTTCCAGTTTGAATTTGCCAGTATCATGAAGTGGCTTAATAAGTGAGTCACTTCAGGATATTGGCAAATTAATCACTTCCCCAGTTCAGCACAGGGCAGGGGAAGTGAAAAAAACATATTTTTGACTCCACATAGGCTATCACTGATGTGCTTAATCAGTTATTGTTAAAAGTCTTTGCTTTCTGTTAAAGAGCAGGTAAAGAAACTGCTGCAGCGAAATGGCAGGAGCCATTTCCATGTTATTGGTCGAGCTTGATTAGATAATTCACACTAGCTTGCCTTACTACTCCAAAATGGTCCACATTAGCTTGTTCCCTGACGCTAACATAGCCACACCTTTATCTGGATGAATCTGTAAGAGTGAGAAATAAGACAGAAGGGCATAAATCTTGCCTGTTCTCCTAGCTGAAGTTACAGCAACTAAAAATGCTGCCTTGGAAGTAAGAATCTGAAGTCTGTGTTCATCAAAGACTGAAAGAGTAGTTTCTTCAGAGAAAGAAGAGAGAGAGCTGAATAATTCGTTCTGGAGGAAGAATAAGCCTTTTCTTACCACTGTCCCTTTTGACATTGAAGTGGTAAAGAAACCATGCCTGAAGAGGTCTCATTCTGAATCGGGAGTGTCTGACAAACATTGTGGTTGAGGGCATCAGTCCAAAATGTTTTCGAATCACATGTGCTGATTAAAAAACAATGACCAGTCATGTTCTGTGTTGTGAGAATGATCTTGAGAATTCTTTCCTGTAGAAGCTATGATCTTGCCATCACAGAATTTAGAGTAGTACCTTTGTATTTCATATCAAAGATGACTTCTTGAGATTTACATGGAGGCCGATACTGGATAACAGGTTGAATGTAATGCAATGTTTCTCTCCAAGGTGCTTCGTGACTCAGAAATCAGGAGCCAGTTGTCTACACACAGAAAGATGGTAATCCATCTGAATCTGAGGTATGCTGGAGTCATGCATTTCATAAAAATTTGTGGAGTCGCAGATAGGCCAGAAAGAAGATCTTGTTTCCAAGCGTGAAATGAAGGAAACATTGATGATCTTGCCTGATGGTTATGTGAAAATAAGCATTCATCAAGTCTACTATGGGGAACCAATCTCCTTCCTCAGCAATGAAAGGATAGTAGAGTCACCATGCAAAACTTCTTTGCTACTATATATTTGTTGTCTGCATAAATATCCATGATAGGACATAATCCTTCATGCCTAAAGCTGCTGAAGATTAAAATCTATGTCCTAACATATCTAGTCTACGTCCTTCTTTATTATTGGGTGTTGAAAGCAGGCGGCCTCTAAATCTAATTTGAGAGGCTTCAGCTATGATTGCATTAAGCATAGAATGCTTGACAAGAGAGGTACGAGTAACCCTCCTCTTTAACTCTTGAGAGATTTTCTGTTCCATAAGATATCAGAAGAGCAAAGGAAGGCTTAAGCCAAAATTACATAACCAAATCACTTAGAGCTGCTGAACTGAGCAAGACTATTAGTTTTGTTTTGTTTTCAACCTGAGTGAAAATTAGCCCAGCTACTGGCAGGTGTTTGAACTTGAATCTGTAACAACTTTGCCATCCTTAAAATGTGGCCCTTGTTGAGAATGGCTGGTCTAGAACATTTTCTCTGAGCTGTGTTTGTGTAGCAGATAGAAAGAGACTGAGGAGAAGCCATTGGCAGCTTGGAGCTTGCACAGAGCATAATGGAGGAGGAGAAAACAGTGTGCTCTGAAACATTCCAACCAAGCATTTACACAGGCAGAAAACCCAATTATGTGATTCTCAAAGACCACAAAAAATAATTTTTCCTTCTGCAAGTGGAAGCAGTCCATGTAAGTGAGAAGTGGGGAGAGAAAGTGGTGGTAGAAAAGAAACGTGGGGTTTTGATCCTGGCACCCAATTTCCATCTTGCCCACCATAGGCATGCAATTCCTGACTGTGGGAATGCAACCTTTGACAGAAAACAAGAGGTTGCCTATTCCTAATTTAAGGTGAAATGTAACCAATATATTGATAACTATTCATTTCATTTCTTCTTTTCAGCACAATGAGAAAAGGCAAATAAATCTCGAATAGGCACATAGCATAAATGATGGACAGATAAGGAACAATGTATGAAAGCCCAGGCCACATAATACAATGATGTTATTGGTGGGGTTTTTCAATTAACCTAGATGTTAGGGGCTTCAAAAGCTCATCTCACATTGGAGCCAGGCTTTTATGAACCGCTGAAGTTTTCTCTGAGCCTTGCCAGGTAGAACCTTACCACTGTCTCCCACTGTTCATCCTACAAGGTGGTTATTCCCTGCCATGAAACATGCTTTAGCAATCTTCACAGGTGGGCAACTACAACATACTGTGCATGCAGCTGCCTTTGAAAACTCTTCAGAAACTTCAATTCGTTCAACTTCTACTTTTACAGCAGCCCAGTGAAGCAAGAGTGAGCTGACAGAATCGTCATATAACAGCTGTCATGGAAGGACCAGTTTCTCATTCGGAATATCAGTGTTAGCTTTTAGGATACTAAATAGTCTTGCTGCAGATTAATTCATGGAATGGCTCCTCCCACAGGAATCCTTAACAAAGTGAGCTAATTTGAGTGGACATTGCTCCTAACTCAGCTGTTACTGAATCACTTTGGGGAATGACAAATTGATATCCTGAGAGCATGGTGGCTTCTTATGTTCTTTTGCTATTATGTTTTCTGTGACAAATGTCTGCACTTAAATTGATTTTAATGTCATTTTATGTTGATTTAATTGTTTTTAATGGTTACTTTTATATGGTCTTGTGAGTTGCCTTAAGTGCTCTCTGGAGGCATGTTTAATGGAACATAAACAACATCAAGTGAATGAGAGAAATTATGCATTTAAGTTTAGAATTGCTATTTCCTTTTCCATTTTATAGACACACACATACATGTGTACACACAATATATTTAAGTGTTATACTTTAAAAAATGTAATACTTAAAAAAGATAAATGACATAAACCTAACAGGTAAACTACATAAAAGTTAAATGTACAGAACAAAAGAACGAAAGAATTAGAAGTTTTCCTTCTTTAAATAATCATTGCATCCATTTTGTTAAATAAAAAAAACCTTTTATTTCCTGGTAAACTGAAAACAATGCAGAAGTTATATTGACCAAACTGGAAGGAATTTTTATTACTTAGTATGATACTTACAACACCAATTGGGAAAGCTAAGACAGCCATCATCCAGTCACGGAGAGAAATGAGTTTTCTTAGCTGCCTTTCTTGTTCTTGATTGTCGTTTCCTTTAGTCAGAAGGCTGGACAGGTCAGTCAACACACAGATTCCAAAAAAGACTGCTTGAATAACCTGCATAAAATAAAATAAAATAAAAATCTGGAAGGATATAACGTGTCACAAATTCCACATGCTTCAGCGTGCTACAAGTGAAGTCCAAGTTTCCATTCTGACCATGGAGTATAATGTCAGAGGGCCACTATTGATGCTAGCACAACGTACCATTTCTAATGTAAAGTAAACCAAACAGAATTGTTTTTTTAATTTAGACATTTTCACAGCTATCGTAACTTCCACTAAGACTGTCTGAGAGAATTATGATGGGATAGAAAAACTACTATGTCAAAAGAGGTATATTCTTCTAGTATAGCCGTTTGTCACAAACCTGCAAAAAGAAACATCAGTGGTTTCCAGAGGGCTCCTTATTTTCTTGGTGGCATGAGAATATGCTCCTAACCTATGCCAGCCTGAGTCTAGTATAGTTATCTTGTACTCTGACAGCTTTCAATGGCAGTGAAAATAAGAAACTCTCAAAACCACCAAGAGAAAACCACCCCCAAAGCTGCTTTTTCCCTCTGTCTATCATAGGCAGAGAAAACTAGAAGGGCTTGAGAAGTGACAGTCCTTTTGCAGCACACTTCTTCATTCCCATTTTAGGAGAAGAGTATTTAGATAGTGACTTAATATAATGTATACATCAAAAGTACAAGAAGTTAACCTGTTGGGAATATTACTAAAAGGGATCTGGCAATGGACACAGAAAACTCTGCAAAATATTCTAATAAGGAAATGAGGGAGTAGAAGGAAGACATGCCCACAAGAAAGCAAGCAAGGAGCATGATTCTCAAGGTAAAATTAACAGGGGCAGGAAACTGTGCCATCTTATAATAAAGGTCAGACTTGGGGCTAATGGTTTTGATATGCTGGTTAGCAAGGGAACAATGTGCTCAATGTGGAACGATCAGTGGTGGAGTGATCAAGGATATGGATGTGGGTGGCGCAGGAGCAGCATGTACACATTGCAGTCCCAATATGTACAGCATAATATCTGAACTGGATTTTTATTGTAGTAGATCAGAAGTCAAGGATTTGAATAATATGCCAAGTTGCTTTAGAGATGCAAGCTAACCATCTCTTCAACCATCTTTTCTAAATGGTGATGATAAAATCAACACATCAGTTCCCCACCATGTCAGGTCTTGGAATGTGAGCTATTTGCAGACAACTGAAAAACCAGAGAACTGAGGAGAGGTGCTAATAACATTAAGCATCAATATTTCTATATTCTCTCATATAGAGAAGAAGCACATCCAGATTTCAACAGGTTGCCTATTTTAACTGCAGTCAGCTGATGAAATTGGTAAAAAAAGAACTTAAATCTCAGCTTCCTATAATATTGTTCAGCCGGTGATCTCCAACTTTCCCTATTGTTGGAGCTCAAAAGAAAAAAATTAAAAGTTTCTTCTTTCAAAACTACACTTTCCCATGATACCTGATACTGGGAAATATAATTTGACTAATTTGTGGTTAGTGGGAGTAAGCTAGGATCTGAAACCATGGCTTGATTGTAGGTTCTTCATATAAATAAACGTACATTTCTGTCTGTTTATCCACTTAGTACTTTTATTACACAGAATTCTTGTTCAGTTAGTGACTTCTACAAATAAATAGCAAACTGATTTAAGTAGATAGTAGAATTTACATGCAAGCAAGCCTTCAATCAAACTATCTCTGCTACTTTATTTACTAAACTTCAGACATACTGTATGTCTAACCAAGTGGGCTCCAGAAATTATGTTACAACAACACAGAAGACAGCAGTTAGCATGAACACACATTAAAATCCAAGGAACACCTTGCTTCAGCGAGAAGACCACAAGCCAAGAGTGAAAGATTTTCAAAGAGTGACTCAGAAATGACTGTATTACCAAAACATGCATGTTTAAGTCTCATACAAAATGGCTTGTGAAGTAGAATCATGAATAATGTAAAAAGCAGCATCATTCTTTTGTACATAATGCAGCACTGATATGATTTAAACCTCACAATACCCAACAGTCCAGGTACTTTAAAAGTTTAATTTGTATCTAAAGAAGTAATCCTAGGAACACATCCAGGAAATAAAAGAGAGAGAAAAAGAAAATTAATTTAGATACATTCCCAGGCAATGTTTCTTAAATGAAATCTATGAGAGCATGGAAAAGTCTCCCAAAGGCCATTGAGGAAAACACTGTGACATCCTGTTTAATGTTAAATTGGAGAAAACACTCCAGAATGTGTGCCAGGGGACAATGCTGCATTGGCAACATTTTGAGGTATGACCTAATAGGATTTTTATTTTTGTACTGAGGCTTTTATCAGGCTACAAGAAAAGAAGATCTATCCCAGTAATATAATCCCAAAAAGAATCACACACCCACTCTCTAAGGGGATATAAGTTGTACATTTCCTAATCAATCATAAACTGAGCCTGCCTCCATCAGCTGTTCTGTTATGACAAGGTCACAAAGGGGAGGGAATGGAAATGTGATCGGACACCTAGCCCACCATTCAGTTCAGCTATCGGCCACTGGGTTCAGTGATCCATAGGGTATCTTCCAATGCTGAAGTTCTAAGATGATGGTGATGATGACAACTTCACTATATTCACATATGTATGTAGCAAAGTAGATGGAAACTGGGTTAAAGTCATGCATCCTTGTAACATTTGAACTATAAGATACAAGTTGTAAACAAATACTTGATAAGCCAGTTTGGAATAATTTTTTGCCAAACCCATGACAAGTTACATTTTCTCTTATTAACTCATTAAAAAATACAGCTGATCTCCAGCCATTTCTTAACCACTTCGAAGTTGTTCCACTGGAATTACACTTTCCCATGATATCTGAAACTGGGAAATAAGAGTCTGTCTAATTTGTGTTTAGTGGGAGTAAACTAGGATCTGAAAACATGGCTTGATTCTGGTTTATCCATATAAATAAAAGTATATTTCTGTCTCTTTGTCTCCTTGGTATTTCATCACATGAAAATGGCTAGGTAAATTTTAACCAGATTTGGAGGTAAATTTGGAATGGTCTGACTTTAGAAACAGGCTATCTGGGATGTAAATAGAAGCTTGGTCTATATACAGAAATGTGTGGCAGATTTGCTATAGAATTGTTCTGAGTGTGTTTGTAAAAAACCACAAATGTTCCATTTAATTATTCAAAATTATAGTTAGATTAGGTGGCTGGATAGCTCAGTGAGTTAGGTATCTAGCTGTAGAGTCAGAAGATGGGAGCTCAATTCCCCACTGTGTTTTCAGGGGAAAAGCCAGCCTCTCTAGCCATGGGTGACTTGCACAGAGTACCCCAAGAAGAAGAAAATGCTAAACCACTTCTGTGTATTCTCTGCATGAAAAACCCTGAAAAGGGTCACTATTAAGCAGAATTGATTGATGGCACATGGTTATTATTACATCAAGATATATGGTTGTGGAGCCAAAGGTTGAACGTTCAATTCCCCACTGTGTGTCCCAGGAGAAAAATCAGCTTGTGTGGCATTGAGCAAGCTGCCGAGTCCCAGAGTGCCTCTGAAGAAGGAAATGCTTGACCACTTCGAAGTACTTTATGCCTAAAAAAACCTTAAAAGGGTCACTATAAGTCAGAACTGACTTGACAGCATGTTGTTGTTGTTGAAGGGTAGACCTTGGTTGGGCAAAGTGTGGCCCATGCATAGCATATGGTCTGTTGTGGCCTTTTTCTAGCCATTAGGCCACTCTACAGTTCCCCATGTCTGCTGGTTCAAAAACTGGAGTGGGGGGGAAGCAACAGAAATATGTCTATCTAGGGAGGCCTCCCAAAGTCTCCAGTCTCCCCATTCAAAACTAGAAATGCCCATTTGGGCACTCAGTTTTTATCTATAACCTAGTGTGGCCTGTGGCAGATACTTGGAGAGAAACTGTGGCTCCAAGATCAACTGAAGTTATCCATACCCAGTGCAGGCAGACAGGCAAGGAAGAACAGCCTCATAATCGTATAATTGGCGATATATGACTTTCTGGTCAATCAGTTCTGCCATTTGTGAATCAGCATATCCATGTCATATTCATGAACACCTGTCCAATGTATAGGACCTAGAAATATTGAAATGTATTCCTTCAAGGAACCACAAAGATCATACAGCCCAACCTATAAAAATCCAGTTAAAAGCATCCATGACATATGGCTTTCCAGCCTTTGATTAAAAATCTTCAATGAATGAGAGTCCATCACTTTCTGAGGTATTCCATTCCACTGCCAAAAATTTTTTATCACCAGGAAGTTTTTTCAATAATGGTTGGAATTTATTTTCTTTTAATTTGAAACTGTTTCTTTGGATAGTACCCATTAGACAACAAAAAACAAGTTGTTCCATACAACATATATACTAGCTTTTCTAAGATCTCCTGATCTTCTGTTCTCCAGACTAAACAAACCCAACTGCCCCAAGCATTCATCACAAAGATTGCTTTCCACATCCTTTATCATCTTGATCACCCTCCTTTAGACACTCAAGTTGTTGATACTCTTTTTAAACTGGAGTGCTCAGAAAAGGACACAATATTGAGATCTTGCCAAAGCAGAATAGTAGTACTATTATTTCTTTTGATCTGGACTAAAGATGGGGATGACTCACAATTTTGGTGAGTCGTCCTGCTTTGAGATCCATCAAAGCTGACAAAGCACGAAGCTCCCCCCCCATGAACCGATGAAGCACAAATTTATTCGTTGATTCGTGGGGAGTTAGATCTAAAAAAAACTGACCCCGCCCCCTGCACCACAGCTGATCGGCGGGCCCATAGGCAAAATGGGAAAACCATAGGAAGAGAGGGACGGCTAGCTTTCTCTATTTTCCTATGGGGGGAGTTGAATAAAAATGGGCAAATATTCATCCCTTCATATTTGTGGTAATCTCTGGAACTGATGAATATGAAGGGATGAGTATTTAACGAATCAGTGATTCCTTACAAATATTGCAATCCATTTTTTAATTCTTTCCCATGTCTAACCTGGATACTATACTTCTGCTAATACAGCATATATTTGAAT